ACTACAGAAGACAGCTAACTGATGGAATGCATACAGATAACTTTTGTGATGAGCAGGGAGTGAAGTGCGAAACTAAAGAGTTTGCACATTCCTCCACACAAACAGAGCCCAAAGTGGCACCAACTGCTGCCAGTGAAGGGACTCAAACTGAAGAGTTTGGGTATTTATTTGAAAGACTATAAGGCACCTGGAAGAGATTCCTTCGATACCGACGACAAAGTGCGGTTTTATACGGGGCTGCCGTTCATCGAAGTGCTGATGAAAACATTTGAACATGACATGTTCAGGCCTTACTCTTGATAAATTTCAAAAGTTTATAATTGTTCTGATGAAACTACGGCTTAATGTCCCATTTCAAGACTTGGCCTACCGTTTTTCTATTTCTGTTAGTACAGCTTCAAGGATTTTTTCTTCCTGGATTCGAACTATGGATGCTAGGCTCTCCCCACTTGTGTACTGGCCAGAGAGGCACCACCTGTGGCACACTATGCCTGTGTGTTTCAGATATTCGTTTGGAAACAAGGTGACAGTAATCATTGACTGTTTTGAGGTGTTCATTGAAAAGCCTTCTAATCTTCTTGCTAGAGCTCAAACATTTTCTTCGTATAAACATCACAATACCATCAAAATACTAATTGGTATCACACCTCAAGGGACAATTTGTTATGTGTCTAGGGTATGGGGAGGTCGCACATCAGACAAACATCTCCCTGAGAACTGTGGTTTCTTGGAGAAGTTACTGCCTGGAGATTTAGTTATGGCCGACAGGGGTTTCACCATTTCTGAAAGTGTCAGTCTAAAACATGCTAAGCTGGTGATCCCTGTCTTTACCAACGGGTTGAAACAGTTGGACCCTATTGATATTGAGGAGACCAGAGGTATCGCCAACGTATGTATCGATGTGGAGAGGTTAATATGGCTGCTCTGCCGCAAATACACCATCCTAGAAGGCATAATTCCAACAGATTTTCTTTCCAGTAATCACCGTGGAACAGTAGACTTTCAAGTTCCTTTAATTGATCGAATTCTGAGGGTGTGTTCAGCACTTGTTAACTTATGCCCTTCTATAGTCCCATTTGACTAGGTATTTTACTTTCTAAGGATGTTTCAGAAATAGTGGAGCCGAATCGAATGTCTTTTGAAAAACATGCATGTGTGATCCTAGTTTCCAGGAACCCAAGCCTAACTTTGTAATGAGCTTCTTTCAGTTGAAATATGCTGTTTTTGTTTTCCCTCTTTCTCTTGAAAATATTCTTCATCAGCTCTGTTATCAAAATGCTCCCCTCCCATACACAAACACATGGTAAAAAATTTAGGCATAACATAACTGGTTAAGTGTACCATTTAATAGCATAATGCAGTATAATGATTTCACAAAGTATCTTGGCTGAAAATATGGTAATTTTTTTCTTCACTAACCATCTTGGACACCTGTCTAAGCTTTAATTTAATTTGCTGGAGGGAATCTCCTGTAACAATTAGAGGGACTCTTAAAACAGAAATCAGCCCCTTAGAGATGGCAAAAACAGGTGGGGCTAAGTGATTTTGCACCCTGAGAAATGTGAAATAGAAATTTAAGTTTTCCCTAAGAAAGTAAATATCTTGGATCTAGTAACTCTTGACAGCACTGTGAGTGAAACTATGAAGCTCTGTCAGTATCAATGAATCCCCTAGCTCAACCCCCCCTTAAGAATACGAAAGAATTTGAACACCCAAAAGGCATAGCACTTGGGGGTAATCTATTGCCCAATTTATGGATGGGACAAGCACCCTTGTCTCGGTTAGCTCAATGGATAGAGCGCTGGACTGTCGTGTGGGAGGTCGAGGGTTCGAGCCCCGGCCAGACCAACACTCAAAGTCTTAAAATAATTGAGAAGAATATACCTTTCTATAACATCAAGAAATGGTTAGATATTTTAGTCTTCTCGGATAGGGACGAATAAATGGAGGTCCCGTCTCATGCAGGGTTGGGGTAGGAGACGTTAATTTCCCACACACGAGATTACTGTGTGATGGATGTCCTTCCCTGGGGTGGGATGGGTGGGAAGGTGAGATCNATAACATTCAGGATCAGAACCTGCCGTCAATTTTCAATTTCAACAATTGGACATCATTCAAAATGGGCAAGCTCAAATAAAAAGTAATCAGCAATGTTTCATGATTGGTATCGCAACTGGTACTTCTGAAAATGCATAACAATAGCATCGAAATGTGAAGTTGATAGTACAGAATTCTGTCTTACAGGTAGACACTACCTAAATACTACTGTCCAAAGAGACAACAACCGAGAAAAGTGAAGGTACTGTATTCCCTTCATGTGTTTAATGCTTATTGCTGTAGGCAAATATAACTCGATTCCTGTAATTTTTAAATTACTGCTTTTAGAGGCAGTCTCATTTACATGATTTAGACCAATTAAGTCACCCATATCGATGAGAATACAAAAAGTTACAGTGCTGTGTAAATACCGCTAGTCTTGTAATATAGAACTATGTTTGTAATAGCATTCAAACAAACATTACTTGCCCCTAAAATGTCTTAAGCTTGGTATGTGATTGAAAGTTTTCAACCAGACCTATTTGAACTTAAAAATCACTTTTTCATATGCATTAATTTCACAAGAAAGTTCGTTAAACTGATTTGAAAAATTAAATCTTAGGTGCTAAGCGCGCAAGTCCAGTTCACAAGCTCATGAACAGGCAACAGATGTGGAGGATCAGAATTTGAGGCATTTACTGTAACATCAAACTCTGACAATGACACCCTGATGAAGTCTGTGTTTGCAACCTCAGAAAATAACACTACAAAGTCAATTGCGGCACGCCAGGAAAGAGGTAGAATG